AAACGAAACTCCGTACTCCGATGTTGCATTTTTAAACAAACTCTCTATGGGATACAGTTTCACTCCTTCGTTCATGAATGCATTATTGTCTGGTCGGACACAAATGCTGATGTCAAAGCCACTCTCCCATTGGTAGCTTTCTTCCACGGTTTTAGGAGGCCATTTACACACTGGGTTTTCTGATCTGTTCTCTACTGGCACATAATTCAGTGTTTTAATATTAACAGAAAAAATTATCGTTAGTACGATGCAGGAGGACAGAGCGGTGAACTGACAGTAGTTTTTTAAACTGCAGCGCATGATCGTGAAATGTGGGTGTATTGTAAGTTTTACCAATCACCATTCCCATTAAATAGTTTTGCGAGTCAATTTCAGATAGGCACATTAAAATGAGCACAAGTTCAAGTGACTCTGCACGTCAGTATGCGCGAATGTGGATCGTGCGTGTGTATGTGGGTGTGTGCGCGCGGGTGTGGATGTGCAAATGTAGGTGCCAAAATTCACGTCCTCACCCGTATATTACTCACATTTTTGTGGTGAGACATTTAATGATGCAATATTTTTAAAGTGTTTGTCAATTTGACTAAGAAAGATGGCAAGCAAATTCACTGGCTGGCTTATGACACCGGTGTGGCTCTCAATTCAACCATTCAGTCGGTCGCTTAGTCGATAGACAACCGATCATACCAGCTGTTAAACCAGCAGTTAAAACAGCTTTTTATAGGGTCGGCGAGCGTTCCCCTCTTATTTAGCTTCAACGGTGCACATCATAAGCTACAAATGTAAGATGTCGCATAAATTCTTCCACTTTGATTGATAGCTATGCAATTGCATTGTCAGCCTATTTGGAGATTAAGTTGATAAAGAGAAAAAATAGCAAGTGTAAGTGCGATTAATTTCTCTTTGTGTGAAAAAGTTTGATAAGGTAGAGGAGTATTTCACAACATCGCGATATCAGGGTTAAAGGCAATTTTTTTTATAAATGCTTTCATAAATGCTCCCTTAAAATTGTCCTTCGCATTCCTAAAACATTTCCCACCAATATTTGGACATAAGTATCCCATTGAGTGTGCGTTCGACAAGAATGTTTAAATTGACTCAGTAGAGTGAATATTTCCTAACATTTCATCTTATTTGCATGTCTTTGGGCACATGTTGGTAATGTACTCAGCAAAAAATATTTCGGCCAAATTTGTAACTCTGATGACTTCGCTTAACGATTGTAATATGAACTAAGCAGTGATTTTGCTGGTGTGTCACCATTTGACGTGTGTAGACTTGAGTACGCAAGTATGTTTAAATTACTTTACGATTTCCTGGGGAGTTTTTTGCCAGTACCAAAATTGAAGTACTACCGGTGCCATTGTTTAAATCACACAACCTACTTACCACTATTCCTACATTTCTAAGGCACCGCATTATCAACAGAAAGCCTAGTTCGTCCTGTATGTTAATGTGAGGCGGACCTTAGAAAGAATCGTTTAGTAATGTTAATTGTTCACACAATGTGTGGTGATCAGCCTATGTAATTCAATCACCATAGGACACAATCCAACCATTAGTAGTTCGTAAGACTGTAGATGTTGTCGCTGTAGCCTTGATGCGAATCCTCATTTGCGCCACTTCCGTTTCTGTCTTGCAAATATTTTCAAGGGGTCTGTAAAAGCATTTGAGCTGTTTCGGGTTAGTTGCATGTTTTCGAAAGTTCACAGTTTGCAGATTAGGTCAATAATAATTGGCTTATAAGGTTAATTTAATCTTATCAAATTTCCTTGACAGATATTGCTTAAGGTACCTAGCATTGAATAGATTCACTCCGGATTAAATTGCTTTGTCCATGGCGCCAATCTTCTTCCAAGGGTGTGGTTTAGGCTGCGATAGGAGTGGGGGCGCTTAGATGAGTATGGAAAAAACACGTAAAAGTAATATGCATAATTTACGAGTCCATAATTGGTGTACCACAAAGGACATTACATTAGAAAGAAGCACACTAATGACCTAAAAATGACAGAAATGTTGACTACGTTGACCTTATAAGACAAGGCCGTTTGCAAATACTTGCAAAGATTCATGCTGAATCGCACGCAATCGAGTTAAGTCATATTTCAACTAAGATCTACCCTCTTACAACGAGCATGTGAACCCTCTTCAGAGTGACAGTTATGCAGTCATGTTAGCTTACTACATGCTTTAATCGTTAGCATCTTAAATAATGATACCAAAGCAAAGGAATAATTCCAGCTCTTTTTCTAAAGTGATCCACTCAACTCCAAGCCTCATACACCCAATTTTCTTTAGAGTCTGTATAAATGCTTCTTTATAAATACACTCGAAATGCACGATTTCTAAACCCACGATCTGACAATATTTGAGCATGAATTAAATATGCTTTCCATTGCACATATGTCATTAGTATTTTATTTAATCTGGTATGATTCATATCACTTTACAGTCTTTACCATGTGCTATTGAATACCTGCTGATAGCATAGTCAGCAAAAATAAACTCTCTCAACCACCTAACTCTAAAATCTCTTTGCTGGAACATTACTGCAATGACTGATAAGCGATTTTTGCCCCATCAATCAGCTTGTTTGGAAGGGATAAGCATCCTTAACTGGAATGCGACTCAAGATATTAATGTAAATACACAGGCAGTGAAAATAAGTGCCGTTGGGTAGTTAACTTGGTCTAAGTGTGTTTGATCGTTAATCTTTATATTTTATTAACAATTACTGCTTTAATTTAAACAGGTTTTAGGCTGGCTCAAATAAAAGTACGGTGATGTGCCTGCTAAAATGTTGAAGTTCGCCCAGATTGTTTCTCTTTTAAGCTAAAGATGTTGCTGACAAACTGAAGCTGTGAGTGTTTCGTGGGTGGCATCCTCTTGGGACCGGGTAACGCACTCTCCTCAGCTCCAGACTGTTGAAATGTTGACAGCGGAAGAAGTATATCATAAGCCAAAAATATGACACTGATTTTGTATGACAGTGAACAACAGCAAATCAAAAATGATTTAAGTGTTGGTTCACTATATTAACCCCCCTTGGTTGTTTAAGTCTTAATGAAATAACTAAATATTGTTTGATTAATTCGAAATATGAACAGTTAAACTGCTTTAAAGCTTATTACCTGCCGTTATGAAATATTCTTTAACCTCTAATACAACTATACTGGGATGCCTGCAACCTTGGAAGCACCTTCCTGTTTTACTTAATTGCTAATTCCATAACATTTTAGATAACCATGATCTCGTTCACTCCAGCCTCTTTGAAACATGTCCAGCAGAGATATACAATCGCTGCTCTGATAAGCCCTTAAAGGCCAAGATCAATCAAGGGCTGTAGGTAAGTGAAATTGAAGGTAATGACGCAGAAGAGGGCTCATTCTCAGTCAGTCCCTGCTGCCTTGCCATCAGGCGCGTACCACTGTCCGTACCCCCTTAGCCAACTCATAAATTTAGTAAAAATATCTGCTTTGAAGTCTTCACCTATTCCTCATCCTGTTGGGAGCTAGAGAAGATTCAGATAGCAGGCGCATGAGAATATCAATCTACAACTATTGGCAGGTCAGCTTACAACAGTCTCACTTTAACGGCTTGATGTGATGTGATAAAATGATGTGATATGAATGAGTTGATAAAGTCTATATAAAGAATGTCAGGGTGTAATGAATTAGGGACTGACTGTGTCTGCATAGTGATGTAAATCATTTCCATGACATATTTTCTGGTAATGTGAATCACTTTAGGGCTAATGAAACTTTTTTGAAAAAGCATTACGCTAAAATTGTGGCCCTTCTCATCTTTACGGCTAACAATCAAAATGGCGTCTCCTGTTTACTTAGTCCTTAATCCAGCTTGCATTCGTGAAGGTGGGACAAGCCATCAATACACAATCAGTTTATTTTTACCCTCCTTCTTTCCCAATAGCTATCTAAGTTTTTAACTATTTGTCCATTTACCAGCAAAAGTTAAGTTTTAAACAGTTTTACAACCATCGTAATTGGCAAAATTTTTGTATTCTATTTTGCATTTTAATAAGAATTTGCCGATTTGAGCATATGGATATTTAAGGTCTGGTGGTATGAGTTGGAAGAAAGTAACATACAATCTATAATACGTTGACGGGCACGTGGTTATTACTCCTAATGCTTAAAAAGAAGTTTCTACACCCATCTTGCTGAAACAGAATTTTTATGCCATGGGGTATAGAACCGAGTCAAGTTAGGGTTGACGCGACTGTACCAACAAATCGGCCACTTTATTTACCTAATTTAACAGTGATTAGTAAGGTGTTCAGGTGAATTTTCTGTTTTTAATAAGGCAATTTAAATTAACGAGTAATGATCTGCCACCCATAACCTTGATGAGATTTATGTATCATACTTGTTATAAACTTCCCAAAAGATAGGTAATATAAGGGGTGAGCCGATCTTGTTGGTCCTTTTAAGAGTTCTCTTAAATGGACTCATCAATAAAAGCATATATTTTTAGAATACTATAGAAATTTTTCACCTGCTTTTAGCTTCTAAGATATTCTTAAATTTTTTATATGCGTAGCTGCCAAAATGTCTAATGTGACTTTCCAAGTCTTTAATTGTCCAAAATAGGTGACCTATTAAGGATATGTCACTTGAAAGTAAGACTTAAATTCTGCTGCTGTATCAATGTGAGTCCTCTCATTTTTACGTGAAGTGTAGGTGTCAATTTGGGAGAAGTTTGATATTGCAACATAAAGGTGTGTAGGATAGTACATCTCACATAAGTCTCTTAAAGATCTGCAAACATGCAGAAGGACCGCCATTGTGTATGGCATAACGTCCAACTCCACTCAAACTGCGCAAAAGTTCATTAACATGTAGCAGAACAGGCCCATGTCTAATTTTAACCAAAAAACACTCATAATTCCATGAGTATTTCGATGCGAAATTGTAGACAGCAAACCTATAACTGTGGTATATTGACAAAAAAAGTTGATGGTGAATTAAGCCATTGTTTTTCCTTTTTTACAGAATAAGCTGGATTTTGGAAAAGTGGCTCATCACCCGAATTCATTTTAGTGGTTTTGGAAATAAAGAGAATGGTTAGCAAACTCTTTTGGGTTATCAAACCTATATCGCATCTACGGGTAGAATTGTGGATTAATGGTCAGTGTTAAAAATACAACAAAGATGTAGGCAGCATGAAATTGAGCTGATGTAGATGAAGGCGTCACAATAAATAAGGTGGTTCCTACGTCTGTACGAAAAGTGAATAGGATAAGAAATTTATAATGTGTAATGCATTCTCGAAACCCCTCTTTATCAAGGTGAAAAGAAATAGGCAGAGATGGTGATCTTGATACTCCGGTATTTCCACCAGATCCTGCTTGCTACTTGCCATGTGTCACCCCAAGTACCAAACGTTATGCCATGCATACTCTTAGATGTAGAAAGAGCAGTCCCTGACTCTCATAATTCATTCAAGTACCCACTTAATCACATATAGCTGATAAATACAGAGAGGCTAATCCACCTTTGATCTAATATTAACCATAGATCGGGGATGTCTACCAAAATATTAAAGATCCGTTTTAATTTTACCAATAAATGTTAAATGTTTGTGGCAAAATAATTTCGATTAAGATGAAGTTAATGGTTACACTTCAATGCATTTCATTGGGGAGTGGAAAAGTCATTCTTCACTCAGGTGAAGATTATCCTTCTTTCCATTCCATTCACACCACTTGAAACAAAAATCTTCAGTCTGTAGATCTCGGTTATGCCAAAGCTATTTCTTTTCTTCCTTGTTCATGATGTCTTCAAGAGCAAAATTATTGTTTACTTGCCTGCTTTGAGAAAATGACCTAATTCGGGAAATACTTATTAACATTAAAAGACATCGCAAGTCGCATGTTTGCTGAACTTTGAAACGCCACGGATGGCGTGTCTTTTGTAAAACATGAATTTATAGAACGTTTTGTTGAAGACGAGAATTAGAAGTGGGCAGTGAATAAATGTCAGTGTGTTGACCAAACTCGAAAAGTGGCAGGATAGGATAATTAACAATTTAATCGTCAAAAGCTGCTTTTACATGCATTATAAATGCCACTTTAAACTTTTCATTAACTGCAAATCCATTCTTTGGGAATTTGGGGGCTGTCGAACTCACAGAATACAAATGACGTAAAAATCCTCGTAGGAAACAGCACTTCATGACTTGCGTCACCAGCATATCTGCTACGTAGACAATTGATAGAGCAAGGGTAAAACCAGTTGCATTACACTAAAGAGGCCATGGAAAGTGGGCAATATCCTAGTTACGATAAATCCAATTGCTCCATTTCTCTCAATATGGCAATCTTTGATCTCTTAGTTCCGTATGTGGCCAATAAAATGAGGGACGTACACGTTTTCATGTTGTGTTTGGCTATGGGAAATACGAGTCTCATCTATAGAGGATACATTCTAAATATGCAAACTAAGAATATTTGAAAATGCTGATTTTTCCCCAAACTTTTCTGACACTTAATCCTTACTGCCACCCATTCCGGCATTAGTAGTTATTCACAATCAAGCATGCATTTTGTCATCTAATGAAAAGCCCGAATTCCAGCCTTGACATTAGCCTTAAAAATTTACTGATTAAATTTTTGAGTACATTACTCTGTCATTTTACAACATCACATTTCAAATACCAGAGAATTTTTATAAAACTCGCGTCTCCACTAGGTAACAGATACTGAAACGATTTTCAGCGTCGGCACTACTGCCACTTTAACTGCCACACTGAAAGATGACCTTTAAGCAGTTAGTACTGGTACTTGCAAGAAACACTGATTCACTTCTACTTTGTTAAGGTCAACATGGCAAAAATTTTACCGACAAGATGGCAAAAACCTTCATTATGGTTTCCAATGTGATTTGAGATTACCTCATGGATCTAACATATATGGATGTGACGAAACTCACTGAATCAAAAATGCACCTTAACCTCAACGAAACTTAACGTAAACAGACCATAAAGAAATAAGACTAAAGGTAAATAAATAGGGACCTTTTTGCTGAATGAACTGCTTGAGGAACTCAATCAAATAAGAGCGCAGTGATGGGTATGAGGTATGAAAGTAGGTATTGTGTTTTTAAAAAAATACATTAAACACCATCGCTACTGCTTAATCTTTAAAAAAAATGTACCCTACAAAAAGAACAAGACCAATCTGCATCAGGGTAGATATCGTGAATGCGCAGGCAAAGTTATGTCTTGAGGACGCGCACTTAACTCAGTCACATTGATGCTTGAATCAAAATGACG